AAAAAAAAAAACGAAGCCATACGTTATTGTGCGATACTCTTTGAATGAACAGCGCACGCAAATTGGCTACAGACTTCGGTTGAGTATTGCTTCACTTAAGTGCGATAACCCAACAAATTTGTCCTTAAAAAGAGGGCGAAATAAGTTGCAACAGCGTCATATTACGCGTGATTTTGTCGTTAAGGCCCAGATTATATGGATAAAAATTGAGACGATAAGGAATTGTCTCGGTCTGATATGACAGCTGAGACTGCTGACGCCACTTTGTATTTTTTTTTTACTTGATAATACTATTGAATTTGAATACTTTTGTCCTATAGTAAAGGACAAATCGACTTCCGGGTAGGCATCCCAGACACGTTGTAGTTTGGCACTTCCCTCAGCAACGCCTCGGTTAAACAGAGAATTGCCAACACGTTATTGAGAGCTAATAAAAAGCTACATTTCAATATACATCCACATGAGCATCTACCAAAACTGGGGCATCCAGTTTTTGTTCTCTTATTTGTCTTTTTTTTTCTTGTTGGAGATAAGGACTATAGCCGGCGCAGCGCTGTTTCATTTCAAAATTGCAGGGAAAATGGTCACTCAAATAAGGCCAAATCAACAAATTTGGCCAGAGTCTACCGGATACGAGATTACATCAGCTTGATTACACAGTTTCTGAAAAAAAAAAACGCTTCTCTACATTCTCAACTAATTTGACACTCTGGGCTTCACGGTAAGCGTTAACCGATGAGAAATTTTCAATTCTTGTTGTGTGAAATTGGAGATTTCATTATCCAAGCGCTTCGTGAGAAATATCCATTATTTTACTTCTGAAAATTAGTCTGAAATGTTGTCTAAAATTTCAACATTTGTTATTAGTATTATATTTTAAGAAAATTGTGCGCAGTATCACCATATCTGCAGTTCGCTCACTCTATCTGTTACTGCGTCGCTCATGACGATGATGATACATGTACTGGTTCTTCAGCAGCATCATTCTCATTCAGCATCCTCTTTATTTGCGTTAGTATCAAGATTCTTGTGTCATGCGTCGTATTCGAGCCAAGGAAAATGCCGGAGCTGATGCAGTCTCATTGACGTTGAGCTACAATTTGCAATAAATTACAGTATTGTGCCAGCGAAATTTTTTGATTTAGTAATAAAACCGCAACAGTCGAAAAATGTCTGATTATTGTAAACACAAAATGAAACACCAACGATAATGACCGGATCGCTTCGGTTTATTATCGTTAGTACTGATCAGTGAGTCGCCCCTGGCTTGTATACACGCTGACACGAGTATACATGTGCTCATTCGTACATCCTCATCCACCTTGGCTGGCTGATTTTACTTGGAGTTGCTTGCTCCAAATCGTCCGCCTTGCTAGTCATCACTTTCAGTGTGGCGCGAAATTGCCGTTACTTTAAGGATGTCGTTTTTCGGCTGAGAATAGACAACGACGTGATAGCGCCCCGCATCAGAGCAACCGGCCTTGTCGGGGCAATAACCCACGTCTTCCTTTCCGCTAACAGGGCAACCGTACACACAGAAGCTGTAGTCGGTACCAGATTGAGAGTTGAAATCGTAGTTATGAGGGTCGTTGGCGTTCTCTTCCATCGTTTTCTGAGTCTCCACGCTCTCCACTTCCAAGGCACATATGAAGACGTTGACATCGGAAGCGTATGTGCGCCCGTTGCTCAATGCTACCTGCAGCATGTTCGCATCTGCTTCAGTGATGGTAGGCTTCGTAGAATTCATGTCTTGAGCTGCTGAGGAGACCAACTGCATCAGCGCTAGAATGAACGACGCAGATACTCGAAACGAAGGCATTTGGTGAATAGGATGCGGGTCTTGAAGCTTGCTGGAGCTGAAAGAAATTTGAGAATGAAAAAACTAAACAATGAGGCAAGCGTATCAGCAGCGATGCCCTTCTTTCATTTGTAGAGGCGTGCATATTCGTGCACAACAATCTGGCACTGAAGACCTCCACTAACTTGAACTAGTTACGTGCAATGCTTTGCTGCGTTGACTTTTGTCATGGAAAAATCTGTCGATTGGGTTTTATCCCTCACTAGTTGTGACATTGCCTATCCAGGGAATACTTTTCTTTCCTATCTATGTACATTGAACTTTAGTTTTATTATTGTAGAACCGTGACTAAACGTATTACGTAGATGGATCAAATAGATCGATTCAACTATGACGTACGCTTTACGTAGGAGATTGAGCGCGTGACAAATCCAGCCCCAATTCGTTTTTCCCGCTAGTGAAGAAGTGATACTATCCCATAACCGGGGGGGGGGG